GATCTTGATCCATTTTGTGCATCTAAACATCAGCATGCATTATTGTCTTCTCCTTCTTCTGTAGGTCATTATTAGTTGATTTTTATTGGCGCTTAAGTGTATTTTTTATCATTATATTATATATATTTTAACTATAGCCATTTTACCAGAATGATTATTAATGTGTTTTCTTCTTATTACCTTTTAGATGTTGGTTAAAGTTTGAGACTGGTGGTCTTGTAGCCTTTGTATTTCCTTCTATGACTCTCATTTTTGTAAGTTGAAAATAATGTCTTCACATAATTACATTATCACAAAATACGTCTGCATCTACCGATGAAATGGGCATATTTTATAGCAAATAAATTATTTCGTTTCTCTATTCACAGGTGAGAATAATTTTACTCACTGTACTTACGGCATGTAAAATTGAAGGTGGAAAGCGTGCAGATGAAATCAAGTCACACGTGAGGTAAGAAGACAAATGATAGTGTATCATATTCTCTTAACACATCGTGGTCATAAGATATTATTTTGTATTTTTTGTTTAACATTACCAAAAAACATGCTGAGTGCAACATGGAGGTATAGTGCACATTATAGTTTTAAAATATTTTGATTTGGATATGATTTGAATTTGATTCCAGATATTTTTTTGTGAAATACTTGGCCAACTGTATAATATGGAAAATAATAACAATGGAAGTAATAAAGTGGAAGAGCTGGAATACACTTCTTCGATATTAGCGTACGACTGTCGGCCAACAAATCCAACTTTACTCTCCCTTAGTGTTTGAGAACGTGACACCATCTGCTGACTGTCTGTGTCACGCGCCTATTCGCGCATTATATGTATTTTCTATAAAGATAGACTCTAAAATCGAATGAATAAGCATTTGAAACCACTAAATTATTATACTTTTGGGGATGCGCCCCCAGGACAACTTTTAAAGATTTTGAGCCTGTCCGACCACGTTCACTTTGCCTATTAGTCGGGGGACCTCTCCCCTCCCCCCCCCCCCCCCTCGGGGAAATGCACTGATCCAAGGTAAATTTCAATAAAAAAAAAGTTTATTTAAACCTTTCTTCAACAGGCATTCTGTACAGTGTTCTGTTTTCTTAGTACCTCAACTCATCCTTACCTGGGCGTTCATTGTTCTTGCCGAGAAAGAATATATATATTGGCTGCTGTTCTATATTTTATTTTCTTTAAACGGGTTATCGATTGCTGCCTATTGCTACTTCACTAAAGAGGTAAGTATTTAAAAATAATGCAGAAAATGATTCTAAAAAACCTTTACCAATCAATGTTCGGAAAATATATCGTTGATGAAATGAATTTAACGTGAAATTTCAAAATACTACAATATTTATTCTATTACGGAACAATCTAATTATTTGCTCCCCACCAATAATGATTTTAAATATTACTCTTAATTCCTTAGATTACAGACGTGAGAAATGAGATGAAATTTGTCGTGAGTAGCAAACTATTTTATAATAACAATAATTAATATACAGTCTTGAGGACAATATTTAATTTAAAAAAAATATTCAGAGGAGCCAATAATGACTGGTTGTTCTAAGAATATTAACAATAAATAATAAGATCATTGAACCAGTCATTTAAACGTCATAAGGCCTATGCCTTCTGTTCATTGATTTCACTGAAGACATTTTTAAACAATTATATATAGCCCATCATTTTCGTATATTATTCGATCACTATTTATCTATCTGTTTATGTATTATATATAATGTTTTAAATTATAATAATCTTTCATTCACGTAGCCTGTCATTAGAGAAGAAAGAAGTAAGTACATGTTAAATTTTCTTGTTATAAAGTCTATGATACCATATTCAAACTTATTTTATAAGTTTTGTGGCCTCCTCATATTGCGACACTTAGACAGATTACTACACTGAGAGAAATACAATGCATATACCTAGTAACGTATTTAAAAACTCACCGACATTTTAAGCTATGGTAAAAATTGTGTTGGTGTGTTTAAGTTTTTTCTTAGAGCTTCAATACTTAGAAACAATCATGCTTTCCATGGTTCGACAAGAACACTTTTAATTAGAGTGTATTTAATATAGGCCCATAGAGTACACAATCGATTTTGTTTATTTAAATCAAGGAGTGAGTGTTATTCAAATTGAATATGAAACAACCTCAAGTCAAGCGGAACTCAGTCGTTATGTTGAAGACATCTCCGTTTGTGAACCCGGTAAGTACTTCAATAAGTTGCAGGCTGTTGTGGAAGCGAGGTGCACACCGATACTTTGGGCTTTCTCTAGTCGTGAGCTCAAGTTAAATACTGATCACGATACACATCTCCTTTTGCAATCACTTTTTGTTTTGTTGTTGCTGTCATTTTCGCTGACTTTGTCATTATCGCTGCTGTCGTTATTGTTCTTGTTGTTATTGTCGCATCAGTCATATCGTCATTGTCCTCGTTTTCGTTATTATTTTGTAATTTTCGTTATACGTATTTTCATTAACAAAATGTGTTATTATCTTCATCATCACCATCACAGTCATTATTCTCAACATCATCTTAATTTGTATTAACAATTGATGTTCTCCTGGTTTTAGGCCAAACAACTTGTACTGCATACAGTTAATAGAGAATTGCATGCTATATATTCGTAATATTTTTATCCTGAAATATTCAAATTTTTAATTGTTAGAAGACAAGATATTTAATTAAGTGGTATTCACAAACTTGTTTTATATTCTTTAGAGAAATACGAAGAAAGTCCAGTAGACCTAGCAGTAGAGACGATACCAAGTGATAATGAGAATTACCATCAGGACGAACTGATCAACCAATCAGAGCCAGCACCAGAGAAAAGTGACATTGATACTGATTTATCATCATCCTCGTCATCCTCGTCATCTGAGGATGAAGATCATGATGACGATGAAGAGGAAGATAATGACGACAACGACAATAATTGTGATGATGACGACGACGATAAAGAAGAGGAGAATACACAAAGTGAAGAAAGCGAAGATGAGAATGGCAGTAATGTTGATAGTGAAGATGATTGTGATAGTGATGATAACATGTTTAGATAAAGAAGAAAACTTTGAATCTTACATCCATAAAATGGATATTTAAAGAAAAGAAATACTCGAATAATTAACTAATGCACCTGTTGTGTATCATACTCTAACCTCAGGGTCTTTTCTTTGAAAGACAGTATATGAAATATATAAAACCTGCATTTTCATATATATTTTAATTTATATATATATATATATATTATGTATTAAACAGTGAGTGTTGGTGTGCTTGTGTGTATTCTATATTTTGCATATTCTATAGTTTAAAATAATAAAAAATAAAATGAATATTATGAATTATTTCAGTATTATCACATAAAAAATGATTTAAAATTTCTTTTTATTTGTATAATATATATTTAGTAAAAAAGTTAAAAACGATTATTTTTGTATACATTTATTAAATAAATCTCATACTAGACATATAATCATATAATTAGTTTAGTTTGTACGAAAATCGTAATTTATTAAATTAACGATATTATAATTTTTTATATATTATAAACTACAGTTCACCATCCAATTCCAGACCCTCTAATTCCGAAACCCCTCTATTGCGAGGCCATTTTTCAAACAACCAAATAACAATCTTTAATCTACTAACACTAAAGTTAATCCTCTATGTGAAGAACGAACCCTGAGCTTATGTTCCAACGGTGGTATTAAATTGTATTTATAGAATATAGGCCTATTGTACACTACATAATCATACTAACAGTGTGATGTTGTTGTATTGTAATTTTTTGATGAGTAATGGTTGTTGACAAGAATATATGCAATGAGCAATGGGCGTAGGTCTGTGCAGAGCATATATGTAACATATAGTCATGTATAAACGATTTCTGCTGAACTCAGAAAGGTATTTAGAGCTCTTTGTTCTATGCAAAATGGTTTTGTGTTATTGAGTATTTTTTTAAAGGAAATACCTGAATGTAGAACATTAAAGTACAAAAAGAAAACAATTGTAAATTGTTATATACTGTCCGTGTACTTTGGTCAGTCTCAATACCTATTATTTACTTACCAAAGAAAAATAAATCTTATCAGACAAACTGATAGTGTTGAAGTTATCATCAACCGGCTATATTCGAACATGCAGAATACACAGAGGAAACGAACGCATAAGTGTAATTTGCTGCATCCAATGCAGTCGACAAAAAGTGATCTTGACGGACTCAACTATTGTGGGTATTCAGATAATTGACATCGGTAGAAAGATCTGTTTTAGAGACCATTAGTAGTCTGTGGGACTGGTGTATAATATGCATTACGATGAGGTGTTTACTTATCTCGGACGCCGTAACAGGTACTTATGGTCATCATTTTTATTGGTATCTCTTGCTATTATGTCTGAAGCAATGCATACAATGATACAGGTTTTCCTACTGGTTGAAACAGACCACTGGTGTTACTTGCCAGGATGGGAGGACGTCTGTAACGATACTGGGTTAAACAGCACCGAATGTGATAGTCAACTGGCAGCGCTGCGCCCTCCAGATGATCCTGGCACGTTACTAATTGATGAGAATAAGTGTTCACAATACAATTACACTAACTTCGTAATAGAATCGAACACGAGCCAGTTGTATGGTACTGAACATCCCTGTGAGCAAGGATGGGAATTTGATAATACTCAGTATAAGACAACTGTCAATGAAGATGTAAGTACAACTTGTTATAAGACAATTAGAAAAAAATACGTATACGTTGCAATAGGCCCGTAGGAAGCTGTAGTTTATTATTAGTTCAGCCAAAGGAACGAAGTCCCGCCTTTGCCCTTCTTGGTCCTAGAGGGGACAAGTGACAGCGTCAGAAACTCCCCAAAGAGGATTGAAATACATCCATGTGCAAAAAGCCATTTTAAAGTAGGTATATGTCTAGATGTGGGATGACCCTCTGAGACTGTAAATATGCCTTAATAATATCTAATTTTTGCAATTCGTATTTTAAAATACAGTATATTGCGAAATGGTAGAAAAAATAAACTGTTTAAAACTTGTTTTTAAGATTTAATTTCCTACCTGCATAATAACTGTACACTCAGACACATGATCTGGTAAATCAGTTATAAAAGAATTACAAATAGTGAGGGTTCCAGGAAGTAACATAGAGGTATGCCTCTTGTAATATTACAAATAACATACTTAGCATGCTCATTATTAATTGCAATTTATTCCTATCTGCTAGATAGCTTCTAAATAAATGCTAATGACATTTTACTTAGGGTCTCGCCGTGTCTGAGATACCCGGTAACCGGTTCCATGTACTCTCGTCTTTCCACAACAGGTGGCCAATTATCTGTGTGAGCCAGCGCATTTATTGTTCTCCCCACCATTATTGATTTTGTTTCATTATATTTATAATTTGGTAAAATAAATACTGAATATTGCAGCATTAAAATATTATGATTAAGTGTGACTAATCCAACCATTATCTGTAATAGGCCTATTTATTGTGGGACCAAGTTCTTCAACGGGGATTTACACCCACCAAAACCACGCAATTCGTATTTTATATTCAATCATATTATTACTATTCCTGATTTCATTCCTTTCTGTGTTGGAGTGTGTGGTCGAGTGTGTGGTGACATAGTGTACACATGGAGGAGATAGACCTCGATGCTTGAAGCAGGGAGGTATTCTTTTAGTCAGGTCCTACTGTAATTTTGTACACAAAAAAAAACACGATGTTGCGTCAAAAGGTTGGGTATACAAATATTCAAACAAATATACAAATATATTGATATATTGGCTGTCTCTTATACACATCTAGATGTGTATAAGAGACAGAGTTTAGTTTGTACGAAAATCGTAATTTATTAAATTAACGATATTATAATTTTTTATATATTATAAACTACAGTTCACCATCCAATTCCAGACCCTCTAATTCCGAAACCCCTCTATTGCGAGGCCATTTTTCAAACAACCAAATAACAATCTTTAATCTACTAACACTAAAGTTAATCCTCTATGTGAAGAACGAACCCTGAGCTTATGTTCCAACGGTGGTATTAAATTGTATTTATAGAATATAGGCCTATTGTACACTACATAATCATACTAACAGTGTGATGTTGTTGTATTGTAATTTTTTGATGAGTAATGGTTGTTGACAAGAATATATGCAATGAGCAATGGGCGTAGGTCTGTGCAGAGCATATATGTAACATATAGTCATGTATAAACGATTTCTGCTGAACTCAGAAAGGTATTTAGAGCTCTTTGTTCTATGCAAAATGGTTTTGTGTTATTGAGTATTTTTTTAAAGGAAATACCTGAATGTAGAACATTAAAGTACAAAAAGAAAACAATTGTAAATTGTTATATACTGTCCGTGTACTTTGGTCAGTCTCAATACCTATTATTTACTTACCAAAGAAAAATATGATGTCAATCAAAATGTGTGATTTACCTATGATATTTTAATCAGCGCTTGTCAATAGTGACAATTTATCACATTTAAACACCACCTAAGAGATTTGGTAATCATTTCCTTATAATTAGCTTAAACAATTTTTATTGTCTCCATGTAGATACACCAGATGTTTATCATTGCATGCCAACCTTCGTTTAATATGAATGTACTATATATTTCTAACGGTATTTTTAGCATTATTATTACCTTTATGTGGCGAGGCTGTTTTCAACGCTTGTGTGCCTGCTCATAATTCAAAATTGGAGCCTAGTACTGTGTTATTTGTGAATATATATAACACAAGAAGCCTATAATTGGTCAACAGGATATATGGATTGATGTAGGTCTATTTTATTAATTATCCTTACTATCATCAGTATAATAATCATTAATTATATTACAGCATCTGAGTTGGTTGGTCCGACAGAAAGGTCATTAGCTCCATCAATTGCAGGTGCATTCTGGGCTACAGGCTACGTCATGACAGCGATTTATGCTTACTTCATTCGCTACTGGAGGAAACTGTTAATATTTATCTGTTTAGTAGATGTTTTCATCTTCTTGGTGATTATTCTGTAAGCAATTGTGAAAATACTATATATTATTTACAGTACGGTACATAATAAATCACATAGTCCCGAGTACTAGTAAACAGAATATTAAAGTGACCTTCCGTAATAATTATCCGACAACTCGGAGAAACGGCTAGCGTATAAACAATATTGACTGTTAAATAAGGCAGTACTATTAAGAATAGCCGAGCACACTTTTTTTTTATGAAACTAGTCTAGAGTTTTTCAAATGAAAACACCTCCTTTTTTTATTAATCCAGTCTAGTTCCAGAATCCCCTCGTTGGTTGCATTCCATTGGACGATTCGATGAGGCTGAGGCCATTATTCAAAAAGCTTCTAAATATAAGAAGGAGATACCAGTTGAAGTTTATAAAGAATTAAGGGAAGAAAAGGTAATTGAAAAATAATTGACTGATTAATTGACTTTATTTCAGAATCGTAATAAAAGTAATTAAAAAAAAAACTATAAACTATTATCAAAAATATGAGGAGCGGAGACACGTAACAATATTTACTAAAGTAACAGTTACTACTTGGCAATCAGGTAAGAATCTCTTAGAATATGCTCAACAATTACACCCCACACGATCATTTCGCATATTTTCTACCATAAGCATTAAACTATATGTACATTTTTTTCGTAATCTCATAGTGAATTAATGCTTTCAGCTTTCCCAAAATAACGATTCTCAAAGAAGATGTGGTCAATACATTTAACTTACATCGCGATTATTGTGGTAAAAACGCTGAATAATGATGAATGAATGAAAAACAAACAAAACAAGTTATAAAAATTAAAGTAACCAGTAAAACATGTGTAGCTATAAGAGGAATAGTGGTAAACAAGCGGTTTTTTTTTGTTTTTTTTAAAGTTTTCTGATGTTTATTTTTGTATACCAGGTTGATGATCAGACTGAAAACTCAAACGCCTCCGTTAAAGACTTGTTCCATAATAAAGTAATGTGTTTGAGGACTATTGTTATTACAACACTTGGGTGAGGCAGCAAATCGGACGCTCTTATAAATATACTTATTATCTTATTAACTTACTTACAGCTTATACTAAAATTTACCTACATTATCACTCACTTCAGCATAATGCAGCTTTTTCTAATTAGATCATTAAAGCATGTTTTGTGCCTTGCCAATAAAAATCTTTCTTTAACACTTGATACTCAGTTTGTAGCTGTCAGAAAGTAGGAAATATATGCTTTAATTTTGTTAGTGTGGCTTGAGTTTAAAGTGTGGTGGTGGTGGTTTACTTACTTCTTGTAGATTTATCATCAACTGTGTATACTTTGGTGTATCACTGAGTGCAATTCGTTTAAGTTCCAACGACTATCTAGCAGTAGGTCTATCAGCCGCTGTTGAAATACCTGCGTGTTTGTTAAGCAGACTTGCAGTTGACCAATGGGGGCGCCGTCCGATATTAGGTTCCGCTATTTTGATGGCTGGACTATCATGTATTGGCATAGCATTTACAAGTATGGTTTACTAAATTTATTGTATTGAAATTTCATTATCAGTATTACTAATATCTTCATTATTATCTTAACAACACTTTTAATATCATTTCTCTAATTTTAAATTTCAGTATTATCATCGTCACTATCATTATCAATTTGTAGTAATACGGCTATTTTCTGTAATTTAGCCAAATACATCTCATCTCAACCAATCTCTATTATTTATTTTCTAGGTGACTGGTTAATAATGGTATTTGGACTAACTGGCAAGTTTGCCATATCATCCTGCTACAATATTCACTTCGTATTTGCAGCTGAAATATTTCCAACACCAGTTAGGTGGGTGCCTTTTCTATATATATTTAGCACAATGCAATATTATCCTATAGTTTAAATCACGTTGTTTAGGCCTACATTATAAGTTTACTAATTGTTTTTACGCGACTTTTACGTTTCAGATATTTGGCCTTATAAAATATGTATTACAATTTTAAGGATCTGGTTTTAAGATCACAATCACTGAAATACATCTGTGTAGTATAATGGTAATTCTTGGCTTTGAAAGTAAAAATCGATCAGCAGTGAATTGTCAAAGGATCATCCTGTCAATGACGGCCATGTGTCTCCCGAATAAGACGGCTACTACAACAGTAACAGTACCAGTAATTGATATGATGATTAATTTTTTCAATTTCATTTTCTCTTTATTTCAGACTTTACATCCATAGTTAAACATCATCAACTTAATTAATAATAATATAAATACAAGGGGAAAATAAACCCCACATAATTCATAGAAATTACGGATTAACATAAAGAATTTCGTTGAAATCTCTTTTTTTTTAAACAGAAATGTGGGTATTGGTTTGGCAACCATGGTAGGAAACTGTGGAGCAGTTCTAGCTCCTCAATTGATGTATATTGGTGTGGTTTGGGAGCAGCTACCGTATTTCATATTCGGTTGTTTTTCTGGGATTGGTGTGCTGCTCATTCTGCTCCTTCCTGAAACGAAGGGTACCAACTTACCACAGTCTATACAAGAGGGTAAAACTTTAGGGTGAGTGAAATGAATTAACCCTTCCTGAGTGCCAATTACACGTTGGAATTAAAACTTCAGATTATTCAATCATAATGAAGATGCTTGTAGGAAAATTCTATTATAAGCAATCATATGTTCAGTACGTCTATACGTATTTCTACCCATTACGTTTAAGCAGTTTTATGTCGGTTTGTGTCAAAAAATAACGTTAATGTACTTTTTCCTATAATTAGTGTGAAAATAGCGTCAGCAGATTTGGGGGAAACCGGTTCAGAAGCACAGTGTCATGATACGCCTTTCGATGTAATGGAGATGGAGTAAATAAAATCTTGTACTGACGATACCTAGTAAGGATCTACTGAACTATGTCAGACACAGCTTTGACAATAACTAGAATTATGAACTTATTTATGTCATTGCCAGTCAGTATTCAGTATAACATATTTGTCATAGGTAAAAGAATTACAATGAAAAATACATTTGCAGAGGCTAATAAATAAATAGATTACTTACTGTAAGTGTAAACATCTCAACTCATGTTTTCTGATTATTTTGGTGTATTTCTTTTTTGTATTGTGGATTAGTTAGGATACACACCTGGGATGGAAAGGGGTGCCTTCAGTGACCTTTTGAGAGGCTGTCATTATCCCGATTTTTAAAGATGTTCATACAGTATATTATGTCAAACTTTATGGTTTCTAAGCAGGTTTTACACTTGTTCATAAGGTGGTTTTCAATAGGCAGACACAAGGATATGCGCATGTCCAACAAACAGAAACTTTTGTGAATCAAAAGCCTGGTACTTTTATAGGATGTTCTCATTTAAATTACAATCACGTTTGTCGGAGAGATAATTTCTTTGCTTCTCTTGCTGAAGACCCTGGTTCAATGCCGGTCAGAGTCGGGGTTTAATGAGAGTCACACAATTATTAAAATGGAAAGGTCCTTTAAAACAAGCAAAGCTTTTTCCCATGAAGCCCCGTATACGGGTAGGAAAAAAAGACCGACTTAACTATGGTAACTCAATTACAGGTAGACAGGCCCGTAGCCAGGGGGGTTTTTAGGGGTTCGGGCGAACCCCCCTCTTTCTCCTATAATTAGTGTGAAAATAGCGTCAGCAGATTTGGGGGAAACCGGTTCAGAAGCACAGTGTCATGATACGCCTTTCGATGTAATGGAGATGGAGTAAATAAAATCTTGTACTGACGATACCTAGTAAGGATCTACTGAACTATGTCAGACACAGCTTTGACAATAACTAGAATTATGAACTTATTTATGTCATTGCCAGTCAGTATTCAGTATAACATATTTGTCATAGGTAAAAGAATTACAATGAAAAATACATTTGCAGAGGCTAATAAATAAATAGATTACTTACTGTAAGTGTAAACATCTCAACTCATGTTTTCTGATTATTTTGGTGTATTTCTTTTTTGTATTGTGGATTAGTTAGGATACACACCTGGGATGGAAAGGGGTGCCTTCAGTGACATTTTGAGAGGCTGTCATTATCCCGATTTTTAAAGATGTTCATACAGTATATTATGTCAAACTTTATGGTTTCTAAGCAGGTTTTACACTTGTTCATAAGGTGTTTTTCAATAGGCAGAGACAAAGATGTGCGCATGTCCAACAAACAGAAACTTTTGTGAATCAAAAGCCTGGTACTTTTATAGGATGTTCTCATTTAAATTACAATTACAATCACGTTTGTCGGAGAGATAATTTCTTTGCCTCTCTTGCTGAAGACCCTGGTTCAATGCCGGTCAGAGTCGGGTTTTAATGAGAGTCACACAATTATTAAAATGGAAAGGTCCTTTAAAACAAGCAAAGCTTTTTCCCATGAAGCCCCGTACGGGTAGGAAAATAAGATCGACTTAACTACGGTAACTCAATTACAGGTAGAACTAGACCCCATATGACACCATCTCGGTCTACAATAAGGTTTAAGGGTTAAAATAAAAAAATTATAATAAACGTACAAAGAATTACAAATACTTATTATTGAGTTCATTGTGGTCTTTTGGAAGTAATAATGTATTTTTGAGATTTTAAGACTTCAGAGAGGTTATATTTTTACACCTGAGTATGATATAATTTGTTGGCCTGTTTGGGTTCTTTTAAAATTATTGCGAAGCTGAGTTTTATTTCTGGTATTGAGAGCGTGGTGAGATTCAATGGTTTGGAAATAACTGTCGAAGATAGATGGCAAATAAAAAGTTTACGGTGGAACTGCAACATGAATGTAGCAACTGTTTTTTAGATAAATATCAAAGATGTTGAGAGCACGGATCGATATGAAAAGGGGTGAAGATGGATGAAATAATATGTTTTTCGAGGCATAAAAATTTATTTATTATGTCAATATATCTTTCTGAAGCTTCAACCAACTTTCAACATACAATTCTAGGAATATATAAACAAATTCAATTATTAAGATAAAAGCTATATCTGTAAAATTGGTATTAAAGTGAAACGAGCATCTCCAAATATATCCAAAGAAAAAAACAGTACAGTACACAGATTAATATATGTTTTTTTAATTTATACAAATTTATTCATTATGTCAACAATCTTTCTGAAGGTCTAACCAACGTTTCAACATTCAGTTATTGCTGGGGTGGCGCCAGGATTTTCCGACGGGAGGTCCGATGTTCGCGACGAGAGGGAGGCGATGTCTCCGACAAAAAAAAAAGTGGGCGTGCTCGGGCGTCGAACAAAACCTCTTGAAAGTGTCTAGTGTAACCCCCGAAAAATATGACAAATTAGGGGTTTTGAGGGTTTATTTAATCGATTTTAGAGTTATATGTAGAAAATACAAATACTTCCCGACGAATTGTGGTTTTCTCCCCGACGGTGGGACAGCTCACCCCGGAGGGGGAGGTGTGCTCCCCTTCACTGGCGCCACCTCTGAGTTATTGGAATAAATGAAAAAGGAAGCTAATTAAGATAATTATAAGCTATATATTTAAGATTGCTTTTAAAATGAAACGAGCATCTCCAAACAATTAACAAATCAAAAATTCATAAAAATGTTCTTGTTTGATATAAACATGATTTTATCCGTTAAATCAGCTACAGCTCAGCTTCGAAGCACAGCTTTAAGAGTTACACCATTCACGGGTGCGAGGATACCTGTCTTCCCTAATGATGGTGGAATCTAATAGCAAATGAAAACAAAATTAATGATAGTTATATATTAAACAATACTGGATAAATACAAACTTTAAGACTGTTTACAAACTCAATCACAGTGCTTTTGCCTCTAAGCTCCTACAACAGAATTCTTACCTCAGTTTTAGCAGAAGTCTCAAGGCGATATTTTTGTAGAATCCGGATTAGGGCTATCTTTATTTCAACCAATGAAAACCTCTGACCAATACATACGCGTGGTCCACCACCAAAGGATAAAAACGTAGATTGAGGGCGTTTTTTTATCTCCTCACTAGAAAATCTGAATAAGATAACATGATACGACCAATAAATGCACTTATATCTCATCATTTTTACAAAAAATAATACAATGTACAAATAATATTTTATAATACAACCGTCCATTGGATATACCGTATTTTCTATTTTCATTCCACTTCTTAATGTACGTGTTTATTTCATATTGATATGGTGACAATATTATTAACAATAGTAGTAGTAGTAATAATAATAATAATAATAATAATAATAATAATAATAATAATAATAATAATAATAATAATAAGTTGTCAACTAGCGCATAATGTAAAATACCTCTATGCGCTTTACAGCCTGGAGTGGGATAAATTGTTAAAAGTTTCACCTAATAAATAAATGAATTATAAATTATATATAATAGTATATAAATACACTATTACTATGTTAAGTTAATTGTTAAATATTTATTTTTTTTTATCTTATATTTTCCTTTTCTTTCCCTTGCACATTTCTTTTTTCTTTTATTTTCAATTTCTTTTTTCTTTCTTTAACATTTCGTTTTCTTTTTTTTCCCTTTCTTTACCTTTTTGTTTTTTTTTATTTTCTTTTCCTTTCTTTACCTTTTCGTTTTCTTTCGTTTTCTTTTGCTTTCTCTTTCTTTACCCTTTTCGTTTTGTTTCTTTCCTTTCCTTTAACTTTTCGTTTTCTTTCTTTTTCTTTTAATTACTTTTCGTTTTTATTCTTTCTTTTTGCCTTTTCATTTTCCTTCTTTATCTTTTATTCTCTTCCTTTCTTTAACTTTTTTCCGTTTCTTCTTTTTTCCCCCTTTTTTTTCTAGTTCAATATACCTTTCATTAATCTTTCTTTTCCTCTTCATGTGCTTCATTTTCCGTTGTTCTTAATTGTTTTCATTTCCTTTCTTCCTTTTCCTTTGCTAAAAGGAAAAGTATATGTGATACGAAGCAACTTAGTCTGCAAACACTACTATACCTTTCAGGATCAAATGTTTCGGGATCTGGGTAATATTCCGGTTCCCGGTGGACCGTCCAAACAGCAAGGAAAACTTGAACATCTTTGGGAAATGTGACACCGTTAATAGTACAAGTTTCATTACATTGTCGCTCAACACTATAAGAACGTAAAGAAGAGGAAGATGTTTTACATAAAACTGTTTTACAGTTTCTTTCTCTCTTTCTAGCAACATATCAAAATGCTACTAGTGGCAAACTACTGGTCTGATTTTATTCCAACTTGGTCAGAAGGACAGGTGTCACCTCCCAGCTCAGTTTACAACTTTGGGTCAAATGTCACGTAGGGGTCATTCGGGTCAAACATAATTTTAAAAAATAATGAAAGACTACTTCTGTCACAAATATCATAGCACAGTCTTGTCCTGTGCACAATTATGCATTGGAATAAGATAGGGTCTTTACGGTATTAACGGGTTTAGGGTCAAACGTCATTAAAGGATTATTCGTTTGGTAACATTTAGAAATGCTACTTATGGCCAACGATTGGACCGAATTCAATCAAATTTGGACATCAAGAACCAGTGACACCTCCTACACCCCCATCTGCCATTAGGGGTCACAGAGACAGACATACTCCTACCAAATATGGGGTGTTCACAGCTTCATGTCATATGTCACACAGGTCATTTAGGGGTCAGATCCTGAAAAAATGACTGGGTTCATGTTTTTTGAAAATAGTATTTCTATTTTATATTTATTTTGCAGCTATGTTTTCAGTTAAAAACAAAAAACTCCATGTACTTACTATATAGCGGGAGGGTACAGCCTGAGCACCTCAAAGACTACCTTATTTAAATAAGGCATTTTGTTCAAGAACTCGAGCGTTACGTTATCGTCTCCTCTAGTGACATCATCTACTTCTTCGATAAGTTGCGTCTGAATTTCTGGATGAGTCGCAAGAGAGTAAGATGCATAGCACAATGTGGTACTAGTTGTCTCATATCCAGCCATGAAGAATGTTAAAGCCTTAAAAAATACACACTCAAAACTATTAAACATTATTACTTTATTTGTGAGCTTAAGTTTAAACAAACTTTTTACTTTTGTTATAATAATGTTAACAATAATCATAATAACAATATAGAAAAACATTAGTATCATTGTTAAAGTAGTTTTGTAATCATACCATTATTTAGACATATATACCTGAGCCATTATTTCATCGCTTGTGAGTGGTTTGGTAGCCTTCTCAGCTTTCACATTATATCCGGCATATTCATCTTTCTCAAAGTCCTCGTCTGGCTTTGCTTTGTGTGCATTTAGCATGATTTGCACAAAATCAACTCTCTGCGGATATATAAATGAATAATAATAAATTATTAGTTTTGAATGGTCTCTATGCTATCACACAACACACAAGTCTCCTTTAAAATCTTACTGTATTATCCTATTACTGTAATATAAGTACAGTAGCGTTATTGCCTTGGTAGTATAGGGACCGCAATTTATACCCATTCCCTAATTATTTATAATGACAACTCAAGTTGCGTTTACGGTTTATTGTCACTATCTATTTCAATATGTATTGTGAGGATGATTCATCTACGGGAGACCCTCAAACATACCGAACAAAACGTAAATACATTAAAAACAATCATGAACTTGATTGTGTTAAAACTTTAAGAGCAAATAAAAAGAAAATAATATAACGTTTGATATACCTAATGTCTTAGCTTTCTAAAAAAATATACAAGTTATATTTTTATTATTATTATTAGAATAAATATAAGTGTGGAGAGTGAATCAGTAATTTACTGATGAACTTTCTTCTTCTTGTCTCATTTTAAGAACTTGCTCAACAGTATCTCTGAAAAAGTCCAATATGTCCTTGGAAAGGAGTCCAACATTAAAGAAGTTGAATATATGCGCAGTCCAGGGAAAAAATACTGTCAACAAAAGCAGAATTGCAAAAATAACTTGATGGGCATAAAAACATAAATAGATTATTAATTTAAGACTAATGACGAATTTACACCATGGTTTCTTCGTGATATGTACGATAGTTGGTCGATAAAAGCTATGATACATGTAATAAAAAGTGCTTTAATTAAGATATACTAGCCTTAGAAATGGTACGCGTTCAACGGTACATACAAAATCAAGAACAAAAAAGCCTACATTTGAAACAAACGTGTGTAAAATGAAAAATCCTAATTTAAAACATTAACGGCATAATAGACCTTACTGAAGCATATTGCATAATGAAGTCATCAATATTTACAATATTCAGTAGTACGAAAAGCTAATAATGGAAATGACGAAAAAATAATATAATGGTAATGATGATGATGATAATGATAATTATGATAATAATGATAATGGTGGTGGTGGTGGTGATGGTGGTGCTTATGATTACTAATATTGTAAACATATCATTGCCTAATTACCTATTAATTATTCATAACTTACGAGTTAACATTATAGCCAGACTACCAGGATTCGTAGTAAATGCCCTTTTGGCATATTTGGCAAATTTTTCGATATCATTTCCATTGGGATCTAGTTTTAGTCCAAATAAACATGTGGCAACGACTTCCATCACATAATTCCCAAATAGTCTACAAGAATAAATAATACAATATTTAGTCCTGTATAATATAAAAATTGTGAGTAAAATTATTATTAACTCCAGTTCTTACTCTTTTGTCTCAATATCTTCACCATTGGCGACCTTTTCTTGTAACTTTGTCAACATGTTTGTGCCACCTTCATTCATGAGCGGCGTCATCTAGAATATAACACACGCAGTAGTATTTGTTATTAATATTATCGTCATTATTACTATCTATTTTATCATCATCCTCATTATCATTATTGTTAATATTGTTTTATATTAATGCCGGTAGTATTGGTATTATTAGTAGAAAGAGTAGTTATTGTAGTAGTAGCAGTAGCAGTACTAGTAGAGTAGCAGTAGCAGTAGCAGTGACAGTAGCAGTAGCAGCAGCAGTAGTAGAAGTAGTGGCGGAAGTTGCAGAAACAATAATAGCAGCAGCAGCAGCTGTCTGTATAGTAGTAGTAGTAGTAGTAGTAGTAGTAGTAGTAGTAGTAGTAGTAGTAGTAGTAGTAGTAGTAGTAGTAGTAGTAGTAGGTAGTAGGTAGCAGGTAGTAGACAGTAGGTGGTGGTAGTAGTAGTAGTAGTAGTAGCAGTAGCAGTAGCAGTTAGTAGACGCATGCAGCAGCAGTGGGGGTAGCAATGGCAGAAATATCAGTAGGACTAGTAGGTTAAAGAATGGTGTACCTTTTTCAGCTTTCCAGATGTGAAACTTGGCGACAATATACCTCGTACATATTTCCAGCGATCACCATGGAGAGTCAAAAGGCTGTCTTCTCCCAAACCGGATTTTAACAACGATTTCTAAATTTGTACAATAAACGTATATTATACTTTATTAATAAATTAACAACATTAGAAAGAACCATTTACGAATATACAGTAAACCATCTTACCTTGTGGCTTTGAAATTTATCAAAGTCTTTTATAAGAATGCGATTAATCAAATCCGGATCGGCCACAAACATAACTGGAGAACGGAGAGTATAACATCTACATAATAGAACATTGAAAACATCAATTACATTATTTTTATTTTAGCAAATTTATTTTTAAATATTATTATATAGGCCTACCACATACATACTTTCTAGGCATCTGATTGGGTAAGAATCAGGCAATAACTTCAACCATTACTCCAGTGATTTAGGTTTGAATGATAATTAATTTTTCCCGGGGAAAAGTATCACCCTCAATCTATAGCCCCTCGGGAAGATGAGCTACGGTCTTCACGTCACATCGGGCAATAGATTTCATCATTCCCCTCATGAGCAGTCAATATTCATATAATATCTTATTGTATGCTTCTTTTGTTTCAAAATTTCTCTCGTGGAAGATTCAAAAGGAAGCAAACCAAGTAGCAAGTAATAGACATTTTGAGGATATTGTTTTTGATTTTATTAAATACTAGGGGTTTTTATCAATAGAATCCATAACTCACCCGACTACCTTTCCGTACTGTTCAATCAACTCTTGTTGGACGTTTTGTAAACCTTTCTGTATCTAAAATTAATTTAAAAAGAATAAGAAAAAAAAATACATAGATAGCAAAAACATGTGATATTTTTCAAAAAGACATGTAAATACTCATTAAAAAAGATCAAGTAAATTATTAGCTTCCAAAGAGAAAAAGTATTTTTACCGAATTACAGACATTTTACTGCAAAAAATCCTTTAATTGATTACCACCCAACTTAAGGATATATGCAAAAGAATTTACTTCTGTGCCTTCGATATGGATGTTTTCATTTATGTTTATAAATTTTATTCCAGATCTTAGAAGGAAAAGACTATCGTTTAAGATTAGGCGGTTGAAACGGATTACGATGGTAGATAGGTTAGCCCAATCCCTTTATACTACTAAAAATAATTGATGGTATTTAACTAGACTAAGAGTTAAAGTACAGAACGTGTCTTTGGAATGGGTATTTACTTGTATCTACCTGATTTAAATAGAACTATTGTCAATGGTTGAACATATATATTTCGTGAACTAGGCACACTGCACGCCTTGTAGTGTGCCATATGGATTGTATGACTAAACGTGTAACGATAGGCCTCAGTGTAGGTTTCTACTTAGAATACAGTATCTGATGTATTCAAGTTTATTAATACATGAGATAAAATTAAATGAATGAAATAAACTGTGAAGGAAAACTCACATTAAATAATTGCATCATGTTTCCAAAATATGCAGTGGGCTTCGGTCCTGGGATGTTTAATTTCGTGAACGTTGAAAATGTCCATGTTGCGTATCTAAATGTGTGTATCATATTAATGATAATAATTGTTTTATTGATTTCAATAATATATAAATATACATATATATGTATATATAATACTGTATATATAGAAGTGGTTGGCACATCGGTTGTGGTTTGGACTCCCAACCTCGAGGTCGGGGGTTCAAAACTCTCGCTGTGCAAGTCGCTTGTGTCCTTGGGCAAGGCACTTTATCTACGGTTGTCTCTCTCCACC